GGGCACACGACTGATCTTGCCGAAACTGACATATCGGCACCACTATATATTTCTTCCTGCATGTGATACCGATATCATCAAGGAAACCCCACCTAGCCTCACTAGGACAGCCCGTTCCGGCCCCGAACGGTACTTGTCTGAAGCTTCATATTAACCGCAGCACGGACGCTTGAAAACAGAAAACCGTCAATGGCACCAGTATATTTCCAACCTGTCCCCATCGTTCATGCCTATCCCGGGCGTTAATAAACCTCGGCTAAACGCTGCGCACCCAACGTAAAATAAACGATAAAAGTCTCCGAGAAACCGAACCAACAGCTATCAAAGCTTACAACGATAACGAAAATGGGCATATTTGCTTGTCATCGACTGTCATGTGGAAAGGGTAAAACAGGTCGTCCTCTCTGTTCAGGTAACACACATTAGCATCTCCAGAATCAAAGGGAAAACACACTTGTAAGTGAAACCATGGGCCCAAACGGTTCCACAGGGCTGGGACGGCTTGGATTTACGTATTTTACTATCGGCAAAAGTTAGCCAGAGGAAGACACGTAGGGACTCCAGTTAGATATAATTAATCCGTAAAAATAGTTAGGAGGCAATGACATATTCTGAGATGTAGTCGGGGCGCGTGACTGTGACTTTTAAGTGGGCGGCAAATACTTCTGACATCCGAAGACTGGCGGGGGTAACGCGAAAAGGGTCTTCGTCGAGGGTCTTCACCTGGCTTTCTACCACACCTACCTCAGCCATGTGGCAATACAGCGCCAGGAAGACTGGAGGCGAAAGCAGATGCAGTGGTCGATAACACAGAATAGCTTGCCTAAGCGTGTCACACAGTACGCGCACATAACAACACAAAGGGTTTTCACCCAAACAGGTGGGAGGCCCTTATTTCACACGCACAGGCGTGCCAGAGATATCAAATAAAGGAGCCATTGCAGTCTGAATCTACGTCACAACTTTTAACCCATCGCACCAACTTAAAAGCGCAGTGGATTTTTGCAGCAAGTAAATACGCGGAGAAGTGAACGGAGTCCCAGCGTTGACCTCACTCCACTTGCCCTTCTCAGTACGCTGTCCGGGCTATTCAGCTATCTGTTGTGGGGATCAGGTGCAGGTGTTTGGCGCGGCGTAAGCCTGCGCCAAGGACTGACATCACACCTCCAATGTTTGGGGTGCGCGGCCTCTGTAAGCGTGCTTTGCCCTGACCTCGTGTCTGATAGGGTCCAACGCATTTTCCAAATCGCACACTGTAGGAGTACAGTTCGGATAGTAAAAATGACACGACTCGCCACTTGCTACTTGTGTAAATAATAGGCTTTCGAAACCCATGTTTTGGGTCTATTCTCAAGGAAGTGTGACGCTTAGTTCCGCATATTCTCCGTTCTGACAGACGACTCGTCAACGACTGAGATTGGCATATGCGACCCAACCGTCTTATCCACGCGCCCATCATCGTCGAAAATTGGAGTCGCCAAATCTGCAGTGGCAGCAGAAGGTCATCGGAAGCCGGTTGTTGTAGGCTATAATTAAGCCAAGTGCGTATACGCTTGTAAATACCAAATATTGAGAGGTCGTCACTACAGAATATTTATAAAGACATACGAGAGAGGAAAAATGTATAATGCAGCAAATCAGCCTGGAAGTAGTTTCATAAACGCGGTGGAAGAATAAGGTAAGAGACAAAAGACAGTGTGTCGGCTTGCACAGGTGGTCATACCCACACGCAGAAAGGATCGGAGCATGGCTCATGGCAGGCAGGCATTGTCAATGCCCTGTGTGTGTGCGTATGTGCATGTGAAAAAGACACCAAAGGGGAAAAAAAACAAACGGTCACTCGGTTCAGGTGGCAGAAGTCGGCGTTTTCAAATTCAAGAGGAGAGCACGCATCCGAGTGAGATCGTGAGTACTCTTGGAGTTTTTAGCCTACAATGTACAAGAGGAAGGAGTGGATCAAGGGATTTCACAGACAGCAAAAGTGAATCCCCATAGTCAAATAAAAAAACCTTAGTCAACTAGCTGTACGTGGCCCTCAAACAACCCACTTGCTATTACCTTCACGCAAGAGTTCTGAGGAATATTCGTGTGGCTCGCAATTTTCGATTATAATTTCCTCTCGGAGACCGCCAGGTGAGTGGTTAGGCATTCCACAGCTCCCACTGAATGAAAAGTATCCAGTTTAATCATTCGACAGCACTATATCATATACTATGCGGCGGAGCACGTTGCAATCAGTCCCACGATAACAAGGCAAATGCAGTGCGCGAATAAATCTTGATTTGTGTAGACCACAGGACGGTTTATTTATAGGGGCAGCCTTTAGGTCAGGGTAATGATTTTCCAACAACAGTCCAGCAGGGCGCTAGGTTCACAAAGCTCAGCGGATTCTGCAACGAGGTTTAATGAGAAACCTCTAAAGTACTGGCGAGGGCTGCAGTATCTGCCGATTTCAGCAGTGGATCCAAGTGATTATGCGTCCAACTTACAGGGCGAAGGGAACGTGTTTTTCGAGGCACAGACGGGGCTGAAGTGTTGTTACTTTTGGGGTAGGGATTAGGTATCGAAAGAAAGAGACAAAATGGGTGTTATACCTGCAGATCACACATGTTGCAAACACTATCCCAGACCTG